AGGACCTCGTTGAGAAGGATCTAGCTGAAGTCGTGACACGGCAAAAGGTACTTGGACAAGATTGGCTGGTCAGGTCCTACAGAACAACGATCTTTGGACGGTGTTACTCAAGGGAGAAAAAATAGTGCACCAAAAATCGCTTCGGCGAACACTTTTGACCGCTACTGTATATCCCTACAGTCCATCATCAGAAAAGGGGTTCGGGAGGAGGCACCAAAGCAATTGGAATTTTTCCACAGGGTACGCAAAATAGACGACTACCTTTTCGGGTTGGCCGCAGCGGATGCTGTGTTTCAAAGTGTGTTGTAAAACTTCACAGACTCTCAAAAGGTTATTACAGCAAGAAATGTAAAGTGGCTCAGAAATTGTGTCCCTACCCAGTACTTTCCGTACTACTTTTACGTTGTAATGTTGCTGGTAGAGATTTCAATCCAAGCTCTAATCAATGATATTTTTTACAGGATGACAGTCGAAGGTCATTATCCGTCCGCTGATGAGGTGACAGCGTACCAGAAGACGAAGATAGCTGAACTCCGTGAGAAAGCGGCCACACATCTGGCCAAGTATCCCGATTACGATACCGATTTTTCGCTTCTTCGATGGCTGATGGGTTGGGATTATGATATAGGTAAGCACTTATTGATTTTCATAGGACTTTAGCACTGTTGACTTTCCTAGAACTATGTTCACCATACTGAGATATGGCAGGGTCGTGCCATGCATCCGTCTGCCATTCGGAGGTCGATTGGCTATTCAGCCCTTATAATGGCGCTAAGCGCCAGCCAAGGCCCAGAACAGTGCATCATCAACGCATGTAAATCGTGTATTGTTTACTTCGGGACCTGAATTTAATGTATATTACAAAAACTGCCTACTTTCCTCAAGTAACTGTGTGTATCCCAAGATGTCGAAACTTGTGCATGTAATTGTAGGTGGAAGTGCAATGGCGCATGCCGAAGAACTGGTTATCCTCTGTACTTTTCACCTACCACTTGCCGAAGTGATCAGACCTACAGTAATGATCAAAAATATTACCAAGACAGTTTTCCATAATTTTTTTTCACGCAATCAATCTGCTTCAATACGTGCGTATTGGTACGCTATGCCTTTCAGTCTTTTCAAGGAAGAGAAAAGGCATCAAAAAATCAAGGAAGGTGTGGCTAGTGGTGGGAAACAGAAGCCACGGGAAATGGCCAAAAACCCGAAGAATGAAACCCTCTCTTTGCCCGTTGATTTGCGCGTTAGTCGTTTCTCGGCGGCACTCCTCAGTCGATTAACACCGGTACTGATCTAGCAAGAGCAGCTAGAGTCAGACGGCGAGGGACCAACCAGTCGGTGGGAGTGAGCGGCGCGGGTACTGTTCTCTTTTGAATGGTTGAAATCCGAGTTTTAAGATATTCAAAAAAATGACTTCAATAAATTTCAACTCAACTCAACTCTTTTTCAACAAAATCGTGTAGTGTACCAGGCGTTGTTTCAGGGATTTCCTTGGACCGTTCTTCTAATTTTACAGGTTTGCTTGACAATAACTTGCATGCAGTAAGAAGTTGTTAGGAACTGAAAACATTCTTTCAAAGAGGTCGTCCACGGAAAAACTGATCTCTAAGCTCCATGCGAAAGCGTTACTTGCAGCTAAAAGAGACAGTTTTTATGCATGAAAAATTAAGTTTTCGAAAAAGAGCAAGCCTCCGGGAAACGTGCTTGTGTATGGTAGAACGAGTGGGGGGGGGGGAGTTGGCGCATGGAAGTAGGTGCCCCGAAGGGAGGCCACGTAGTGGGTGAAAGAATCGAATTCGAGCGATCGAATTTGGAGAGAGGGACAAACGATCAATAGATTAGGATGCAGTAGAAGAGTGAAATGTTAATGCAATAAGTCAAAGGCCAAAAGAGTTTCTAGTGACGGCACTCCAGAACCAAGTGGAAGCGTTCCCGCCGCCAGCATTTGTGACAGATGTACGGCGGGAATTTGAACGCGTAGCAGTGCTTCGATATATTCACTATGGCAGAACGCAACTTTTTCGTCCTTTTCGTTCTTATAGTGAAGTTTGACTTTCAAGTTCACTTGGGCGCATGGAATAGTAGTGCTATGCTTTTTCGACTACGAAGGATAGGACTCCGGAGGATAGCAAGGTGTCATGCTAAAT